GTAACACACTTACATTTTGGGGTTGTTACAACTGAAGATGCTTAAAACAATTCCTGGCATATGATATACATGACAATTGTTTATTATCTGCGGAAACAGTAAAACAACATATTTTAAGTTAGAATCCCAATTGTAAATCAAGAAGCAGATTCCCTGTTTCCCTGTTGAGACTAGTTTAAGGGAAAGAATGAATGTCTTGGCATCCGCTGATTGGAAATGGACATTTTGCTCTACGAATGGAAAGATTATTTGTCACTCTTACTCTGATGGTATCATTTTCCTTGGTAATAAAATAGAGAGAAATCATATGGCTGGCAGTACTTGCCTTAAATAATTATAGACCATAATTCAAAGGCAAAAGGGTCTCACCTCTCCCTCCCAGCCTCAACACAGCAAGTAGGAAAGGAAGGGACAGGCCTCAAATGTGTCAAGTGCCCATCCTGATAGCTACAGAAATTTGAACCTTATTACTACTTGGTTTAAGACCCCAGAAAGGCAAGTGGGTTCCACATGTTTCTTTCTTTAAGATTTATTTATTTATTTATTTATTTATTTATTTATTTATTTATTTCACAGTATTCTGCCTGCATGTATGTCTGCATGCCAGCAGAGGGCACCAGATCTCATTACAGATGGTTGTGAGCCAACACTTGGTTGCTGGGAATTGAACTCAAGAGCTCTGGAAGAGCAGCCAGTGTTCTTAACCACTGAGCCATCTCTCCAGACCTCAGCAGTGATTTGAACACACAGTTACAAGTGAAGCACTAAGTTATATGTTTGGGAAAATACAATATAAATATCTTGAACACTGAAGACTCTTCAGGACTCTGGCAGACAGCTAAGCATAACTTGCTGATAGAAATTCAGCATAAGTTTTAGGAGAGCCCAGAGGAGGAAGCCTTCCAAGCTGGGGCGGGGTTGTATGGCTAGTGAAGAATCTCTGGTCAGGTGACGAACTAACCCTTGGAAGTTCTTACCCTTCACACTTCCTAATCTTGTCAGAAAGACATAAACAGGACACCAAGAACAATGCAAGATCCTATCTCACAGGTTCTCCAAGAAGACAATGCTGCTGCAGGGAACTTCAAGATGAGAGTAATTTACTATCTCAGAGTAAGATGGTAGTGTGCTGGACGGGGAGGAAAGCCATCAGGGAACTCCAAGGTGAGAATAATTTACTATCTCAGAGTAAGATGGTAGTGTGCTGGATGGGGAGGAAAGCCATCAGGGAAGTCCAGTGGGCCGTTAGATGTATATCTGCAGAAAAGAAAAGGTCCTTTACTGAGCACCTACTATGTCAAAACAGACCAATTTAATCTTCATGATAGCATCATAGTTCTGTTACTGAAACTCAGAAAACTTAACAACTTCCTGAGAACCCAGGTCATGAGGATGCTGAAACCAGTACTTTCAGCCACGATTTACCCAGTCCCCACCAAAATCTCCAAGATACCACACCCATGTTGATCTAACTTCCAATAGAAACTTATACCCTCCTGGGCAACCTATAGTGCTTTCAGTTATTTCCAGATTAAATGCATGGTGAGGATTCGTGTCCCAAGGATTGAATGGACAGCACAAAGGGGGGTTTAGTACCAAAACTTGCCCTAGAAATGTAAGAGAGACCCTAAGGAGGAGGTGGGGTTTGGTGGGTATGAACTGACAGGAATAGCACAGTGCTGGCGTGGCTGGCATGTGGAAAGCGCTGGGTTCAGTTGTTAGTACTAAAAGAGGGGGAAAAAGTGGAAAGAGAAAATGGGGGGGGGGGGAATCCACAAGAGACTGAGTGATGAAGAAAACTGATGAGGGCAGTGCATGAAGAAACACTATTTTAAAAGTCAGGAAACACAAAGGACAAGTATACATGGTCAGTTCGAGTGGCCTATAACCCATAGTTTGCAATTCATCTATTTCTATGCAACTCACACTTTTAAAAAAAGTAACTGTGTATGCACATAAAGAGTAAGCATAGCCAAAAGAGAGGTGAAATAAATAACAATTGTATGTTTGAAAATTTTATTTTATTCATTCATTCATTCATTGATTCATTTATTTTTATGTATCTATTTGTTGGGCTGTGAGTACATCCCACAGCTTATGTGACACTAAGTTGAAAGTGCTGCGTCTCTCCATGTGGGTCCTAGGAATCGAACTCCCATCACCAGACTTGGCAGCAAGCACCTTTACCCAATGTGCCATCCAGTTGGCCAATAGTTGTATGTTTAGGAATATGTAAGTAAAAGGTTTTTCCAAACATTCCCAACGCATTTAGGAACTGAAGACAAGAAGCAAAATAACCTATGATATCTATTCCTTCATTTTTGCTCACTGTCAGAAAGGGGAAATAATTTGACCTGCTCTAGTTTTTTTTAGCTGTTTGTATTTCATAACCCAAGGGGCACTTTGGAAATGAGAAGAATGCATGGTGCTTACACACAAACTCTGTAGTTCCAGAAGTGCTGTCCTCACAATGAGCTTCTTATAAAGGTAGCAGAACAGAAGGGTACAGTTAAATGACTTTCAGGAGGACAAGGTGCAGACGTCACACCTTGTAAGCCGATGAGCCTCGAATTCTTATTTCTGCTTGGAGAATGGATGAAATTTGAATGTATACAAATAAAGAAAACTACTCTACACAATGGTCTAAATGTCCCCTGGGAACACAGTCTTCAAATATCTAATTACCACAATTGAATTGATTAGTAGTCAGGTTCTAAAGGCCATTGGGGAGGGGGAGAGTGAATGACAAAATTTATGTATTTCATCCTCATCTTTTTTCTTCTATTAAAGACAGCCTTTTGGCTTATCCAGGTGGCTCAAAGTTACAGAAGGTAAGAGATTTGCCTAAGGAAATTTTTTCTCTGTGGCATTGTGCATACTAATTTTTTTCTTTCCTTTCAGTCTCTAAAAAATGTAGGATGTAAGGTGAGCTTCACTTTTTAAGTGCAGAAACTGAGCTCCAGAGCTCTTAGCCTAAGACTATATAGCTAGTTCTTCCGTGACCAAGAGGACACAAATCTGGGATAGCTGGTTTACAGAACAGTGCCATGATCCCTGCACACCACATTCTTTTATGGAGGGGACATCTGAGTCATCGCTCATCTTACAAATCTTTATCCTTTTACCAGGCATATTCTCCAATGGTCCCCTTCCTCCCTGTAGCATGAAGCAATGGTCCCAGCTCTCAGGAAGAATGTGGAACAGCCCTCAGCTCAGGGGAACCACAAGAAAGCAAGTCACAAATTGGTAGCATCAACTTCACTTTGGTTTTCACCATAAATTCTACCTGTAATGAAGTCTTTTTATCTGGATGTTATTTGGACAGACTGGCAAAGAACTAATAATTTCTAATCCAACACAGCTAACTCATTTTGACTTATTACAGTTTTGCCATAAGGGGGAGCCTTTGAGTTCCATAAGGGGCGGGGGAGAAATATACATACATATATATACACATATATATATAAATATATATACATATATATAAATATATTATTACATACATGTTTCAGTTCAAAGCATAAGAGACACAAGCTGCAAACAGCCAGTTTCGTACCTGTGTGTTGGGATAGCTTAGGGAAACTAGGAATTTTTTTTTTGTTTGAAATTGCATACATTCAATTTTCCTCTCTTTTATATACAACAAAAAAATGATGTCTAACAACCACCTGAGTGCTTTAAGAATATTCAGAAGCACTGAAGGGGCCCAGCACCGGCTCACAGCTTCTACAAGGTACACAGATGCTCCGAAAATGTTTCTTATCTGATGTTCTGCTGAATCTAGGAGACTTTGGAAAATGGGTTTCATTAGCTTAAGTCTGAAGGTAGCTGTACTGGGGGCTCGGGAAAGAAACCACTCACCGCAGTATAACTTTAAGGAAATTTAGGGAGGGAGAAAAAGAAAAGCAGAAGAAACAGGAAAAGCAAGAGAAAGCAAGGAAGAGGGGAATGGAGGGGGTGAAGGAAGGGGAATAGAGGGCAAATGATAGAAAAGGGGATGGGAGGAAGAGAAAGATGGAGAGACTGTGAAAAGGAACCCGAAAATCAAGTTCCAACGTTCTGTGTGTTATAGAAAAGGGAGAGATGTAACAGCAAAGGACAAATAGGACCGTTCTCTCTCCCACCACGAGGCAAAATAAAAATAAAAATAAGGAGCGGGAGTGAAGGGGGAGCAAAGCAAAACAAAACCAAACCAAGAATGTGTGTTTTGAGCAGGAATGAGGAAAGCAAGGAGGATCGTAAGGGGGTGTGTACAGAATTCCATTAAATTGATACTTTAAGATTGTCTTCTTTTTAAAAAAGAAAGAAAGAAAGAAAAAGAAGAGGGGGTGGAGAAGCTGGAGCGAAGGAAAGGAGAGAAGCGGCAAAGTAGAGGAAGGCTGGATGGCTTGGCCTCTCCATACCGATTGATTGGTCATGATCCCCGCAGTTTGAACAGGGACTCATTCAATTGGGAAGGTGGAGTGCTGGCGAACAGATTAGCACACGCTTGTTTACTCATCTTCTAAGGGATTTTTCCCCCTCTTTCCTTTCATTTCGTGAAGGAGGGAGGGGAGGGGACGGGGGGGGGGAAGGGGGCTGTGGCTTGTGTTATAAAGGACGCAAAAAATAAATAAATGAGAGCATCTTGGGGGGAGGGAGGGAATTCAGCCGACCAGTGTGTTAGAGGAGATTTTTTTGGAAGAGCGAGAAATATATAAAATAAAATGAAATAAAACAAGGAGGAAGGCATCCAGCTGTTAGAGGGGGGGGATAAGGCAGATAAAGGAGCGAGGAGAGAAATTAATTGCAAACCAGGAGGAGTTGGACTGTATTTTTGAAAGGTGGGGGGAGTGAAGCACACACCTTGAGGAGGAAAGCAAGAAAGAAAAGAAAAAAGCAAGTGAAAGGGGGGGGCTAGCCCGAGAAGGGGGACAAAGTCAAGGCGCGAGCGGCTCCCAAAGCTGGCAGCTCCGGGCGGCGGTGCAGGGGCGCAGGGGGGGCGGGGGGGACCGTCGGACATGCGGCTCTGGAGTTGGGTGCTGCGCCTGGGGCTGCTGAGCGCCGCGCTGGGCTGCGGGCTGGCCGAGCGCCCCCGCCGGGCCCGAAGAGACCCTCGGGCTGTGCGCACCCCGCGCCCCGCCACCAGCCCGGCCACCTGCGCCACCCGGGCGGCCCGCGGTCGCCGCTCCTCGCCGCCGCCGCCTCCGGGCGGTGCCTGGGAAGCCGTGCGCGTCCCCCGGCGGCGGCAGCAGCGGGCGGCGAGGGGCGCCGAGGAGCCGAGCCCGCCGAGCCGGGCGCTCTATTTCAGCGGGAGAGGGGAGCAGCTGCGCCTCCGGGCCGATCTGGAGCTGCCCCGCGACGCCTTCACACTGCAAGTGTGGCTGCGAGCGGAGGGGGGCCAGAAGTCTCCAGCCGTGATCGCAGGTAAGGCGAAAGGGGTTACTCCCTTCGACAGACCACCCCGATGGTCCCCGCGGGGCCCTCGGGGCCGCGCGGATGTGTGGGGTGCAGGAGGGCGGGTGGGTCTCCGGGAGCCGCCCCTGGAGCGACGCAGAAAAGGTAGAGGTGAGGTTTGAGACTTGCTTTAGCCCATCTGCGGAATGGCCACACTGAGAAAGGATGCTGCCTGGCCTCGCGGGAGCTGCGTTTGGGAGTTCCGTGCCTTTGGAAGCCCACAAGCTAGGGATGGCTAGTCCCCAGAGAACCCAGAACACTTAGTCTGTGTTCGGGATGTGCGGACAGACTCCGTTTCGGTATGGGAGGAAGGGGAACATGACCCAGTTGGGTTTTATATGAAAGGAGTTGAAGGGACCGTTCATTTCCCTTTACTTTTTCATGGAAGTGATTCTTCTTTAGTCTGGTTATCGTGCAAGTCGGCAAGGACCAAGTTGTTGTGACTGACAGATTTAGAACTCCTAGAAGTACCCCCAAAGTTGCTCTCTGACCGAAGCTTGCCTCTGGGATCCACCCCCCTCCCATCACTATAGCCACCCACACTGCCATTCTGGGTCTTTGGTTTTAAAACTGGTTGCCTATCATTCGCTACTGGGGCAGACCTCCTTAGCGCATACTCTGCCAGTCTTCCCCAGACACAGCTGAGAATTGGGACGCTTTTCTCTTTGGGGACTGTTATGAGCCCGTAGTGAATTTAAGTTCTCCCTCTCTCCCCTTCGCTGTTCAACAGCAAAGCCCATAGTGAAACCGGACACTTCACGAGGGCTGCAAACCTTCCAAACGCCTCAACATCCATTTTCCCTTCGAAACGAATCTGTGGAAATGCCTTTAATAAAAAGAGGGGTGGTGGAGGGGGGCGACGCTGGAGGAGAGAAGCAAAGTTTTGCCTCTTCTGTCTGGGAGATTCCCTCACTGCATAAACAACCTTGCCTGTCCTGGGCGGTCTTAAAACGAGAGTGGGGGATCCCCCTTCGCCTTAGCGAGCGGCAGAGGTTTTCCGGATGGTACCTCTTACCGCTTACACACCGCTCTCTGGCAGTCTGTAGCTGTTTTGCCTTGGCTTCGACCTTCCCTAACACTGCTCTGAGTCTCCTATTTACACAAAGTCGCCTTTCGGGGATCCAAACTCTGCTATCAAGACAATAAAATGTGTCCTCAAAGCTCCCTCTTTCCAGCTACCAAAAGAGAGCGAGAACGACTCCCCACACACACAACTGACGTCATCGCTAGCCCTCCCTCCCCCGAAAAGGAGAGGGAAACCGAGCTCATTCACTTTCAGCTTCCAAATCCTCGTCAGTCAGAGGAGGGTACAATATTTAACCGGGGAGAGAAGCTTCAAAATATGAAGATGATGATGACAGTGTAGGATTCTCTCTCTCTCTCTCTCTCTCTCTCTCTCTCTCTCTCTCTCTCTCTCTCTCTCTCTCTGTGTGTGTGTGTGTTTCGCTTTCAAAACACAAGCAGTCTGCTGCTTGGAAGTGTTTAAGAAAACGGTAGATCTGGCTTTGCTGGTCTTTATTTGTGATGTCAGTGAATCGGAAGGAATCCCCCAGAGAGGAAAGCCCGGGTTACACAGATAGTGGGTGCATTTCATATATACATATATGCAAATCTGTGTCTCCAGGGGTTGCATGGAAGACTGCCTTCTAAGTGTCGAACTCAGACCAAGGTCTCTCGTTCTCTGGAAGATGCAATCCACTCTCACAATGATTGTTTCAGTAAAATACTTTAATTGGATTGGGGATGTTAGGTTATTATTGCCCATATAAAATGCCTGGTTCATTTTATGTGTGAAAATAGCATTTCTCACAAAACAGGAGGGGAAAAAAAAAACCACAGTAAGTAGGTAAATAAATAAATAAATAAATGGCTGCCGTGGGGCCCCAGAAAGCCAAGGAGCTTTTCTCTAGAGAATTCTGGTGGATTCCCCCCTCCCCTAGTTGAGCAGGAGCCAGATTTGGCGGTGTGTAAACACCTGGCAGGGAGCCAGAAAAGACTTATTCTGCCTTATCCTCCACACGGAGCATACTGTGGGACTACAGAGAACCTGCTTCTCCTAGAATTAAAAACAAACAAACAGAGGGAATTCTTTTTTTCTAAAAGTACTTGTTTGGTTTTCTGCTGTGCGATTAAATTCAGGCTGGAAGAGAGAGGATCCAAAGTGGGTGTCCGTGTGCATCCTCAGGCTGGCTACAGCGACCTCGGGTGCCCGGCTGGCTGCCTGACCTCTGTCTGGGCGTCACCACTTTCACAGGAATCCCTTGTCACCTATCTCCAGAGCAGTCATCGCTCAGCAGGGTTTGCAACTGCTATTTTGGGCCCAGGGCTGCTGCCTCTCTGTCAGGCCAGCCGGCCTTACATCACTAGTCTGCACGATTCAATTGGGTTTCTTAAAGGTCTAATTTTACGGTGTTGTTAACCGGTTCTGTCGTCTGGCAGAGGCAGGCCGAGCCTCTCCTGGTAGGCGGGTGTGCTCCCAGATCAGCCTGCCCCTGGTGCTATTTCTGCCAGGGTTCAAACTTCACTTCACGGACACTGGTTCAAACCGGCGCTGAGAGAGGCAGAGGGAAAGAGCAGGGTGCTTCTTGAAGCACAGCAAGCATGCCTTTTATTTGTCTAAAAGGAAAGTGAACACACACACAGAGACAGTATTGCAGCCCATGCAGGAAAATACAAAACAACAACTAGAAAGTGCCACGGTGCCAGACTCTCCTGCCAAAGCTGAAAGATACTTTAAGAACTGAAGTGCCCTTTAAGGCTGCTATGAGCAGGGTCCTTAGAGGCTATACACCAATTATCATTTAGCTTAATAGGAAGAGATGCAGAGAAGGTCAAAGGGTATGCTGGATGGCAGAGTTCAGTGTCAGCAACTAGGACTTAACCCCTGACACTACCATTTCTAGACATCTAACTACCTGGTAGAGAAAAGAATCTCATAAATAGCCACTTCTCCCCACGCACAGACCCGCCATCCAGATGTTGCACTGTTGTTCGTGTTGGGGGTTGTGTGTGTGTGTGATCTTGCAGATGATATCTTTGCTTTTGTACCACACCTGACAGATCCAGACCCCTGCCTCCATCCCTAACCAACCCCAGCCATGTCCCACCAGCCCTATAATCTAAAAGGAACAGAAAACAGTAGACTCAGCTTGCTCCATGAAGTAGAGACCCCGAGTGCAGTTAATCTTATTAAAGTTCCTCCTGACCCATTAGATAAGTGAAAAGTGGACCCCAGGAGTGCCTCACTCTTCCTCTTTCACCCTCCTAGCACCCCTCCTGAATTAGTGATTCAGAGTTCCAGCTCAGGAAAAAGAAATAGCTCTAACCCTGTGCCCACCCAGCACCTCTGCTGGAAGGTCCTTTTGTTTGTTGTAAGCATTAGAATGAATTTTGCTGGCTGCTCTTAAGAAGCCTTTTCTTCCTCTTCTGTAGGTTGTTTTTTTACTTTTCATCCAGCCCTTCAAAAACTCAGAGGCTTCATTTGAGGTTCACACTTGTTCATAATTCTCTGTTTAATATCTGTAACTTCACGTGGGACGCAGAATATTGCACTGGTCACAAGGAAGCATCGGTAGCCAGGTTACCTCTCTCCTGGTCCAGCTATGACCTTGAGCAAGCTGGCTGGCTCCCCTGGCTCCAGCTTCCTTCTCCACAATGTAATGGTGCTGCAAGCACTTGAGTCACAGTAGGCTGTGCAATGGTGCCTGAGCTCAAGGGTGTAAAGTATCCAGAACTGGCCTTGGGACTTAGTGGGTGTGCGACAAAGATTTCTTTTAGTAGACAGGACTTTTCAAAGATCATGGGCTTTCTGGGCTGAGGACACTGAGGATACTGAAGCACCTACTCTTCCAAGCAGAGCACTTCAAGCTTGCTTTACGCCTGAGCATTCCATTCTCCCAACCACCTTGTGAGGTGGACATTGACATACACACACACACACACACACACACACACACACACACACACACACACAAAATAGTCAGTTTGTCTTGAAGAGTTAAAGGTATTTGGACCAAAGTTCCACATCCCCTGAGTAGAAAGTCTACCCAAGAAGGCAATTCCACAGTGTTTGGCTCCTCTGCTGTTTGGAGGGCAGGAAAAGAGATCGTGTGGCTGCAGAATGTTGTCCTCCTCTTACACGCCTACGTACAAAGCCATGGTTTTCCAGATCAGGGAGTGAGAAATGGAGAGAGCTCACCTGAAGATTGGATTGGGCCTGGTGATTCTGATTTTCTTTTCATATCCATCAGACTGACCCATGATCAATCACTCCAAAATATTTCCTCAGTAAACACATATTCATTTCTCCCAGTCTTCTTTCTTTCCTTTTCTAAAATATGGTTTTTTAATTTTTAAAAAAAATTTAAGTTAATTTACTTTTTACATACCAATCGTAGTTTTTAGATACCAATCCTAGTTTTCCCTCCTCTTCTCTCCTCTCCTCTCCTCTCCTCTCCTCTCCTCTCCTCTCCTCTCCTCTCCTCTCCTCTCCTCTCCTCTCCTCTCCTCTCTTCTCACTCTCCCCACCTTTCCAGCCTCCATCAGTTCCTCAAAGAGGGTAAAGCCTCCCCTGGGAAGTCAATTAAGTCTGTCCCATCACCTTTTTGAGGCAGGAGCAAGCCCACTCCCATGACTAGATTGAGTAAGGGGTCTCTCCATAGAGAATGGTCTCCATAAAGTCTGTTCCTTCATTAGGGTTAGAACCTGGTCCCACTCCGCATACTACAAAAGCCACACCATTGTCACCTGTATTCAGGGGTCTTCTTTTTGTCCTTTTCAAATTTCCCAGTTATCAGTCTGGAGTCAGTTAGCCCTTATGTTCTTCCTTCAAGTTCTCCCCGTCTGGTCATGGTAACCAGAGTTTGCAGGTGTACAGAGGGAAGGGTGAGGGGATACTAGTGTCTGAAGCAGAGAATGTCTCAGGACTTCAGTTCATTTCTGTGTGACCTTGGGTGAGTCCCTGAGCCTCT